TGTAAGGCAGGGAAAGAAGGTGCTTGGGGCCATTCTGCCATTTGCTCTGGCTGCATTGCTGTTCAGCTGCCATTCCCCTCTTTGCTCTTGTTGCTTTTCTATCTTCTGCCTTGGAACCAGCCAGGTATGGACTGAAATCTCCACAAACTGTAAGCTAAATAAACCTTTCCTTCCTTCATTTTGGGCGTTGGGTATTTTGTCTCAGCAACAAGAAAAAAGTAACCAAGACACATAGCTTAGAAATTTCTTGTCTCTTTACCTTTTACTTATTTTATTTGCTTTCTCAAAAATTAGAAGGAAATAGAAAATAAAAAATAAAGCAAAAGATGAGTAATTGACACAGGATAATATAAATATAAAAGACAGGCGTGTAGATAAAAATTACAAGGACTGAAGTGGGAGTGTAATTCAGTGGTAGCATAAGACTATGGGTTCAATCCCTAGCAAAATACCTAGACAAAATACCCAACACCCAAAGTTAAAGGAGGAATGGTTTCTTTATCTCACAGTTTGTACAGGTTTCAGTCCACAGTTGGCTCCAAGGACGGGTGGCATATAATAGAGCGGCAACAGTTCATGGCAGCTGGGACAGTGGAAAACAGCAAAAACAGCCAGAGCAAAAGGGTGAAACATGGCTCTTTTTGCCTCTTTTATCTTATCTAGACTGCTGGGATTAAGGTGGTGCCAATTCAGTCAGTGAGCTGATCCAGCAGTCACCCTTAATCCCAGCACCTTCAAACACAGCCTTAACTATGAATCAGTCACAAACTCTAGATTCAGCTGCCTCCAAAAAAGGCCCACCTAAAACTGCATGAGCCTTTAGGGGGACATCTAGACCAAAACCATAACGTGGTGAATGAGAACCTGCTGCAATATACAATAAAGACATTTTCAGTCATTTTGCAATTAATTTAAATACACGTATATTAAGAAATAGTAATGAGCAATGCCTAAGCTTAACTCTTTTTTTAACCCTTGGTCCCAGTAGTGCTTTCTAATGCAAAAAAGTCTTTGTTTCTTGTATTATTTTTCAGGCAGATGATACTGACAGGCTGCGTAGCATTTGCACGTCATGTTGGACCCACACGTGTGGAAGCTGAACTTTTACCACAGTGTTGGGAACAGGTAAATTAACTCTACTGAGTGTTCCCTTAGCTATAATTTCCTATATTTTCTTGTTACAATGACACTAGTAAATTTACAGGTTGTAATTGATGCTACTATTTCAGTAGTTTAGCACAGTTATTTAATAGTGCTTCAGACTGCTCTGGGATGCTTGGCTTTATTTATTCATTCAACATGTACTTATGAAACACTAATTCCAGTGCCAAGTACTAATCTAGTCACTTAGTGGTACAGTGATGAACAAAAGACAAAGATCTCCTAGTCAGGTGATAGTAGTAAACCCAGAAATTATATGCTGTCTTGTGGTAATGTATATTAGGAAGAAAAATTAAGCAACAGTGTTAGAGGGGAATGACTAATGCTCTTTAAGAAAAGATGGCGAGAAAAGGGATATCTGATGAAAGCATGTTTAAGGAATTTGAGTGATGTAAGATACAACAAGTACCAGTGCCCTGAGGTGGGACTGTCCTTGCTGCATTCTAGGAAGAGCAAAATGTGTACATATAAATAGAAATACATATTGTATACTAGTATGTATTACACATACGTAGTATCTAAAGTGTGTATCTTTGATCTGGGAGGTTTTGGTACTTACAATTCATTCTTTCACTAATAATACTCTTAATTATACATATATATATTTATTTATATTTTTGGGGGGGTCTTTTTGAGATAGGGTTTCATTATGCAGTTCAGGCTGGCCATGAACTCACTTTGTAGCCCAGGGTGGCCTCGAACTCATGGTGATTCTCCTGCCTCGGCCTCCCAAGTGCTAGGATTACAGGCATGTGTCACTATGTCCGGGGCTATATGTTGAATTTTAATATTATACTCTTCTGCAGAACTCAGAATTACTGACTTTCTAGGCTTATAGGTTGGGTCATAAACATGTTATTTTTCCACTTAAAAAGATGGGGTTCTCACTTATGAAGACAAATCAAAAGACTTATTTATAATAGCACAGTCATTTATCTTAAAATATTGGTCTCTACAATATCACTAATATGTAGTCATTTAGAGTTCTAGTCCTAATTTCTTTGGGCATTCATTTTTTATTAAAATATATTGGAGCCACTAGATTTAGTATGTAAAGTGAATAACGTATGTAGTAATAATTACCTCTGAAAATGCCATACATCATCCATATATTACTGTGCATACTAACATAGTATGCTTAAAGTTTCAGTTTACTTGGATATAATGTAGAGAACTTTAAATTTACAATTCTATACATTTATTTATGTGTACATTTAACTTTTTGTACTTTTCTTACCTTTTTGTTCACATAACACAGCACTTACACATTTAAAATATATATTTCAGTGGATTCAGTATATTCACAGAGTTGTATATCTGTCACTGCAATCAATTTTAAAACATTTTTATCACTTCCAAAATAAACATTAACCCACTGATGGTAGTTTTTTTCTGTCAAGATTTCTTTGGCTCTGTGGTTCCCATGGAATTCCATATAAATTTTAGAATCAGCTTGTCAGTTTCTATAAAGAAGCTACTGGGATTTTTATAAAAATGCTTTAAATCTATAGATTTATTGGAGAGCAAATCATTTTACACCTTCCTTCCAGTCTGTGAATATAGGATGTCTTTTCATTTACTTAGGTCTTTAAAATTTCTTTCAACAATTGTTTGTACTTTTCAGAATATAAGTTTTCTACTACTTCTGTTTTATCTGTTCCTAAGTGTTTTATTCTTCTTGATGTTATTGTAGAGACAAATGTTTTCTTAATTTTATTTTCAGTTTGTTCATTGCCATCATACAGAAATACAGTTGATTTTTGTATTACATGTAATTTTCAGTCTCATTGAACCTATAGCAAGGAAAACCAAATGAAACTGAGAATCATACTTTGACATTCAAACCATTTTGCTTTTAAAATGATTACATTTAATTCAGAGATATCAGTTATAAACATTTCTATTGCCCACCTCTTTTACAACCTGCATAAACCTGGATATCAGGGATCTGTCTACCCACCTACTTCCCGTTTGTTGCCCAATAGATTACTATATAAATTTCTTTTCTTAATTTTAGGCATCCAATACATTATTGAATTATGTCACCTTTTCATATGGAAATATGGGAACAGATATACTTCCTTTCCAGTCAAAGAAAGATTTATATTCTATGGAGAAGACATATGGGAACAAAGCCCAGTATGTGTCACTTTTTTTGTTATTTTTTTGTTATGGTTCAGTGTAGTCATCACAATAATAGAACACCACCATTTCACATATGCAAATAATAATTAAGTCTTACTTTAAAAAGAAAAACACAGTTCTAGTCAAACTGATTAAATCATTGGTTAACTTATTTTCTAAAGTTTAGGTAAAAGAGAAAACTGGGATATATTATTGACCATATTTATAAGATCTAGAAGACAGGTATTCCTTATTAAAAAATATACTACTGTTGCTAGTAGTAGGTCTTGATTTCTCCTACTAGGTCCTGATTTCTTCTGACATCCTGGGGAAAGCTTAATCCTAGGACAGCACATAAGCTCTAGACACTTTTTGCCAAATTTTCATTTTGGCTTCCTGCTTTTTTTTTTTTTTCCTTTAACAGTTGACCCCTGTGTCATATTTAGACTCTTTTAATTCCCTTATTCTCGATCTAGGTATAGCCACACGGGGATTCCCACAAATGGAAAAGGAAGAAGTTTTATTGCATTCTTAACAGAATGTATGCTCAAAAGTAGTTCACTGTTGGACAAAGAGAGAGGTTTTTTTATACTTTATTTATTTATTTTTCTTTACTCTAGATTAATCACAAATACCCAGAAAGACGACTACTTGTGGCAGAATCCTGTGGAGCACTGGCACCTTATCTTCCAGTAAGAATTGTTCTGTTTCTTTCGTAGAATATTTGTTCTTTTTAATTTTAGAAGAGCCTTTTTCAAAGGCTTATATATTTTAATTCAGAAGTCTTATATATATTTCTAATATATATTCATAATTTTATATATTTTAATTCAAAATCTGTTAGACATACCATTTTAGTAAGGGAAAGAAATGCCAAAAAAGAAAGGGCTCACATTAGTACATTATTGTATTGCAGGCAGATAGGTATATTATCATTGATTTTGCACATATACAAATATACTAAGCTGTATCAGAACTTTTCAGATAGAGGTCCGAGGAACCTGCATTGTTTCTTGAGATCATTTCCAAGAGGTTCATAAAGTGAAAACTATTCTTACAGTGATAAGACATTTTTTCTCTATCTCATTTATGTTAACATTTGAAGTGTTGGTTCAAAATAATGATGGACAAAAATGCTCATGCGATAGACTAATCAGAGAAGTGGCCCCGCAAATGAGAAATTGAATTTTTCACTGCCATTGCATAAAAAGTCAATTTTATTTTAAAGGGAGCTTGTTGAATCAGTAAAATTATTAATTTTACTAAATTGTGGCCCTTGCATCTTTGCTGTTTGCAGGGAAAGCATTTATACAGTTGTTTTAGTTGTTAGCTAATCTAGCCACTTTTTCATGGGACATCAGTTTTGTTTGATAGAACCACTGACAATCAAGCTGTGATTTTTTTTTTTTTTTTCATACATGGATATGTGGCAGACATTTTGTTCTTCCTTAAGTAACTTCAAGGAAAACAGGTAGGTAGCATTTGTTATCAGTGATAAAATTAGAGTTTCTAAGTGAGGTCTAGTATCTGCCACTGAAAGCTTAGTCTTCTAAATACATAAAGACCTCTTTATGATGAAATCAGTGGATTTTTAAGATGATATAAAGTGTCAGTGTTGAAAAACATCTCTGACTTTTGATCCAATTTTTTTCCCAAATTAATAAAGCATGGGGTAAAGTAGAAACATTAAAAATCTAAAAGGTACCAATGGACTTTATCAAGTATGAAGTGCTTCTTATTTGTGAACCATATTTTTTATATGAAAAGACTATTAAGATACTCCATTTTACTAATACTTTTTCCATGAGGTTAGATTTCTCTTAAATCAGTTAAAACAGTATATCATAATAAGTGGACTTCAGAACAATGTCTTTTAAGTTAGACATGAAAGAAATTGGAACAAAATTCTTCTATAAATAGTTGTTTTCATAAAAAACATTATGTAAACATTTAATGAGCTTTTGTTATTTTTAAATAATTTTTCTTTGAAGTGTAGAAATTGAACTCCAAGCTTTAACACTCAGCTGTATCCCCAGCCCTTTTTTACTTTTGAGAAAGGCTATTGTTAGTTTAATTTAATAATTATGCATACATATTACCCAGTGTTATTTAAGATGCTTATTAACTTTTAAATTAAGAAGGGATTTGTGCCATCAAAAGATTGAGAACCACTGGACTGGTCGGCACTTAAGAGAATCTTCCTGTAAGTCCAGGACTTAGAAGGGAATGAGACAGCAACAACTGTATGATTTAAATACTTGACACACTACACAGCGTATCTACCAGACCTATCCCACAACCAGATTTTGTAAAGGGAGTTTTCTTGGAATACACCTACACCCATTTGTTTGTATTTATCTGTCTGTGGCAGGGTTTTTTTTATTGTCGTGTTTTGGATTTTTTTTTTTTTTCTTTCAGCACTGTATCTTTAATTGAAAACTTTATCAAGAGCTACATCCCAAGCCCCTTTTATTATTTGAGAGAGGGTCTTGCTAAGTTGCCTAGACTAGACTTGTGATTCTCCTTCATTAAACTGGGCTACAAGAATGGAATTATACGATACTACAAGAGTTATTTAGTTACATTTACTTTTAATCAGAGATTCTTTGGTAAAGAATGAGAATCCTACAGCAAAATAATGTCTTTTGAGAAAGAAATATTTATGATGAATATTCCTTTATTCAGAAAGATAAAAAGAAAAAATAGTCTTACTCCCAACAGGAATTTATTTAGCTAGTTAAAAATAAATGCTCATGGAGTGCTCCAAGAGCTGCTGGTCCCACAGTTTGAGTCCGTGCTTTACTTCCACTGCCACAGTTCCCAGCTGAAATTCGCAGAGAGAGCCAGGTATTTCCCATCTACTTCCTGAGGGCAGAGCAGGTGACCCAGGACCACGCCATTATTACAGACTGAGTCTCTGCCCTCCCTGCACCCACAGCAGAGAGGAGGTTCTCACTCAGAAGCCCCAGGGACTTCTGTAGGTGGGGTGGGGATGTGTAGCCCCTCCTTCCGCACACCCTGCGCCAGGTGAGCGACTGCTCCAAGAGCTGATGGTCTCGCAGTTCGAGTCCATGCTTTACATTCGCTGGCACCCCCTAGGGGGTCGAAGGCACGGGCAGTCTGTGATTGCTACCCATCCAGCCTGCATCTGGTTCCTGTATGTGTCCTGAACCGACTGGAGACACAGAATCAGGTGGTTCATAAACTGTCGACCCTGCAGTTTGTGTCTGGGTTTTGCCTGTACCCTGAACTTCCTGGGGACATAGGTCCACTGGACCGGGATTGTCACACCAGTGCAACCCGAGTCTGGGCCATTCACGTGCCCTGAACTGCAAGGGGATGCTGGATCAGACAGTCAACCATCAGCTGACACCAATGCCCGTGTCTGAGACTGGGGATAACTAGATATAAATCAACAACTGCCGGAAAACCTGAGACTAAGTAGCACTTCTCAGAGGTCACTTGGGCAAACCTGACCAACAGAAAAACTAGAGACACTAGTGGCCTTGGCTGTGCAGCTATTGAAGAGGAAAACTGAGCTTTCTGCATCTGGTAGCAAACATGACAAAATGAAGGACTGAAACACAATCCCAGAACTCCACCTCACTTAGAACAAGTCCAGGAGACATTGACATAGTAGAACTTGGTAAACACATGCCGGAATTAGCTGAAATGATTGCAATGGAAGTAAAGGCACAACTCCATAAGGCCATAGAAGAGATGAGATCAGAAATAACCTCTCAGGCAAAAAAGGAAATGACGGTAATACTGAAGTAACTGCTCAAAAAGTCTGAAGAAGAAACATATAAGAAAGTAGAAGAACAAAGGCAATGGACAGAAGCGTTCAATGAGAAATATAGAAAGGACTTAGAATGCATGAACCAGATTCAAAGAGACTTCCAGGAAAACAAAGCTGCCATTGAAAGCTACCAAAACCACTTCAATGAAGCTGAAGATAGAATCTCAGACTTTGAAGATAGCATGGCAGCTAACGACCATGAAAGAAAGGATCTTGTAAAATCAACAAGGATCCAGGAAAAGTCAATTCAACAGCTGCAAGATGAGGCAAAGAGGAATAATATACGACTTTAGGAGTCAATGAAACAGCAGGAGGCAACACAACTGACATAAAAAGAATATTTGCAGAAATAATAGCAGAAAATTTCCCAAGCATGGAAACAAACCTGATATACAGGTAAATGAGGCATAGAGAACTCCACACAACCACAACCAAAATAAAACTACACCCAGACATATAATAGTCAAGTTCCCAGATCTCCAGC